CACACACACACACACACACATTATGATTATTAGCTTGGGTGCTAATGTGAATGCTAACAGGCTAAAGCTAAGGATCTCCAGTCCATGAAGCAGCTCTGTTGTCCTCCATCATTTTCATGTCTTTTTACGTTCTTCTCTCTGTCAATGCGCTCTGGTTTCGTTTTAAAGAGCTGATCATCAGATATTAATCATCAGATATTGATCTAAAGTAACCTGCAGGGTGGGTAGAGCTCGCACCGGCGTAGGACCTAGTAAGTTTCATTTACCCAGAATGCACTGCGGCAGAAATAATATGGTGCCGTCCCTGTGACAATATACTTTTAAAATGTATACAAACCAACCAGCCTCCAGTATTTTTACAGTTTTTCTTTTACAGTTGAAGTAAATATTTATCAAGTGAAGTTGAATTTAATGAGTTTAAAGCTCTTTAAAGGAGTGAATAAGATCAAAGAAAGAACAAATGTTAAAATAAAGTTGATCTCATTTAATGTCTTCATGTCACGCTCAGAGTTTGTGTTGWTGATGACTGTCAGCTACCAACTCATCAAAGTTTAGTTCAGTTTTAATAAAATAGTAAAATTGGCTCTTTTTTTTCTTTTTTGGCTGCTGTGGATCAGCGGTGTCAGGGATGTTGATTCCTGAAAGTTTCACTGAAATGTGAAGTCAACATCTGTAAAACTGACTGTGGCAGCCATCTTGAATTGGGTTGACTCCAAAAGTCCAGCAGTTATAGATAAAAAGCACTTAAACCTTTTTATGTATCTAATTAATTCATTGTCGTCTGTTATCTGATCCTAGCAGCCTCCTCTTTACACCTCGGTCTCATTTCTCACTTCCGAYTCGCCGACGACCATATATGGTCTTCCTGCAGGGGCCAGAGTGCCCCGCGACGCTTTCAGGTCACGGCGTGAGTGGGCGGGCTGGCACCGGGACCGGCTGGTGCCAGCGCCCTCCTGTGCCGGTGCCAACCCGTGTTTCTCACCGAACATATGGCCGTGACGAGGACGGAGACAGGAAGTTAGAGGGTATTATTAGAAAACTGCTTTGTAAGAAGATGAGTTGATGCTCATGATCCTGTTTGTTTCAATAAACAGATCAGGAGGGTTTTTTTATTTAATTTTTTTAATTTTTTAACTTTTA